ATCCACCCCAGCCCCCTCAGTGTCCCCCGCAAACCTCCCCCACACCCCCCAGTCACTCCACCTGTGCACCAGCAGCAGCTCCTCATCGGTGGCTGGGCGACACTGAAGGAGAATGGGGGGCATCAGGGGGGTCCCCGAAATCCCAAGGAGTCCCCAAAATCCACGGGGACACCGAAATGGGTGAGGGACCCCAAATTAGGAGGGGACCTCGAATTTCGTGGGTCTCACCTGCACAGGGACGCAGCGCTGGACCAGCCCCTCCAGCGCCATCCAGAGCGGGGCCAGACCCCCGGGGGGGCTGCAGGGGACCTGACAGTTAGTGGGACCCCGGTGTTTGGGGACACCCAGGTGTCCAAGACAGACCCCACCCTTCCCCAAAATCCAGGACAGAACCCTTGGGAACACCCTGACATCTTTTTTGGGGGGAGGGGCAGGTATTTGGGATTTGGAGGGGGGATTTGGGGTGTCCAGGACCCCCCACCCCAATATCAGGGGAACCTATGAATGAGGGAGGAGGCGTTTGGGAGGTGGGGGAACCTCAATGTTGATGGGATTGAGAAAGGGGGAATTTAGGAAAAGATTTGGAGATAAAAGCCTTGGGGGGAATGATTTTGGGGGGATTTCAGGAAGAAAAAATTGTTCCAGAATAGGATTTGAAGACGGAGGGAATTGAAGGAGGGACATTTGAGGGCCTCAGAGGGGTCCGTACCGGCTGTCCCCGCACTCGGCTCTGTCCCCTCCATCACTGACCAGTCCTGTTCCAGTGGGAGCTGCGACCTCTGCCCCCAAATCCTGCTCGAGGCGGGGAGGAGGAGGGGCATGGAGGGTCCTGGGACACCCCGACCCCCCAGGGCCCCCCCATCCCAAAAGGATCCCCAAGGACTGGGAAACCCCCAAAAGGACCCAAGGTTTCAGTGACCCTAAAGCCCCCCTCCCCGCAGGGGGTCCCTCCCCCATGGGGCCGGGGTGTCCTAGAGCCCCCATCCCCCAAAGGGACCCCAAGCCCCTCTGCCCACCCTTAAAGAGACCGCAATATAGAGAAGCCTCCCTGGCCCCAAACCACGATGCCACAAATCAAGGGGGCCCCCCACAAAGGGTCTCCCAGTGTCCTTGGACCTTCCCCAAAAGAAGCCAAGATTTGGGGTCCCCCCA